GCCTGTCCTTCAACCCGGATGTCCCTCGCTAATGTAACGGGAGGCTTTAATAAAGAATGTATTCACATGGTGCTGGCGAGATTTAATTTAGCTTTTCCACACGCTTAAACAATAGGATTAAACTTGCTAGGAGCCTGGAGATGAATGTACCTGCCATCTTGCCTGATAGATTGAAGGATGCCTGTCTCTTCCGCAAAGCAGGAGGCTATTTTGTGTGTTAAACAAATACCCGGGCCTCCTCCTCTTGGTTACGGCTCACATCTGATCTCTTCTCTAAGCTCCATCAGGTTGGCATGTTTCTGCCCACTTGACCTCTCAGCATGACGTCTGTGGGTTTACGTCAACACTTTTGCCCACAGCGAGTAAACTGATTTAAACAGCGGTAGAAACGATGGAGAAAATGTGAACATTTAAATCTGATTGGAGACCATATGTTGTATTCCAGTGCAAAAAACTATTCATATACTTAACTGAATATAATTTCTTGCAGTCTTACCACTTGAAACCAAATGCCAAGAGGACAGCGCTATTTGGGCATGCTCCGTTTTCTTTGGGTCAGCACATTGCTTCCATCATAAAAGAAGTCCAGAGGAGTTCTTGCCTCCTTCTGAAAATGCTAGTTATCTGGCTGAATCTAGCTTCGATGTTCTATGATTCACAGGCCTGAAACTAGCTTGCTGTAAATGAGGATCAACAAAGATTTACAGGGTTATTTACAAGTAAATACAAATAAAAGTAATATGGTGAAGAATTTGGAGAAGACAGGAGAAGTAAACAATCTAGGCCAAAATAGCTGATTTAAGGCCGGTGCACACCTAGACGACACCTCACCACGCGGCAATCGTGCACGATTCCGTGCTTATTGCCGCGCGGTCAGGAGTCACCTGGGTATATGCCGATCGCGCTGTGGGTGGCATTATTTTCTAAGGCACCCCAGTCGTGCTGGGCGGATCGCGCGGTTTCCCGCTAAAACAGCCGGGCGTTGTGTATCGCCAAAAAAAGTACCCTTTTTCTGCGATTGCCACGTGGATGTCACCCCATTGAAATCAATGGTGGACGCACGGCAATCGCAGCCTGCATTGTGCAGGAGCGCGCAATCCTGGATCGCGTAAGTCTGCACCGAGCCTCAGAAAAATACTCCATAGCTGAACTGGAAAGTGAGCTGAATTGACGTTCACTTTTCTCTTGCCTTCTCCAAACTCTTCACCCTTTTGTGAATAACCCTGTTAGAATTCTCAAAAGGACTTAAAGAACACCTGTCATAGGTGAAAAGGAATACCCATAGGGGTCAGCATGCATAACATTTAAGGACTCTGGTAAACCTACTTATGGGGAACCATATTTTTGTATGTATATATTGGTGTTTTTGAGTTTCAGAACATCGCGTCACAGTTAAGGAAACCAAAAGTGTGTGGGGTTTTTTTTAGCTTACATTTTATGTTAAGGCTCCTACTCTGTTTTGCAAACTTAAAACAAAATCATTGCCCAGCTTGTGGAAATATTAAGGAAAAAATAAAAACCTTTTGCTCTAGTTCTCAACCTCCACTCCTGCACTGTGCCCCAACTTCCACAACATGGACATCTTAGGTGAGCTCCAGGCTGTCCAGGAGTAAGGACCCTCCACTGTCTCCAGTAGGGGAAGTAGCGGTGAGATCACCTGATCAACCAGACGAGAAGAGGAGCTGAGTATGGTAGCCAGAGCTGCTTTTTTTTTTTTTTTTAAGAGCTGTGGGGTATCCCTTTTTTTTGTTCCCCATGCAGGAATTTGGCTGTATTCATGCAGATGCAAAATCGGCCTACGGCTGCACTCGCAGTCATCTACCTATAGGCTGAGATTTTTAAAGTAATTTCTAGGAAGGTTTACACTTGGCAAATACTGTAGCAATGGCCTTCTTTTTTTATTTCAAGAAGGCCAGTTACTTGTTGAATGGTTTATAATTAGATGGCTGTGTTAAAGGAATGACCTTAGCATACATAATATTGGACTCTTGTCTCAAGGCTTCTAATCTTCTACTACAATGGGCCTCTGTATTAAAAACAGCCATGTGCTGCACAGAGCAGAGTTAATAAGGATAATCTGATTATCTTTCTTTGAAATACGATTCCTGCTCAGAAATTGTTCTCTTCAAGTTTGATTTAACATTTCCAGTCAACAGCAACTTTTAACCATATCTTTTGTGTTCTGGCTTTTTTACATGCTCTACCAATCACGTTTTTACTCCTTTGTGAAGAACCACAAAGTCTGATTGCGGGTTTGTACATAGACCCTAGGTGAGATTTATTTAGCCTCCTGCTGTTGCCAGTATTCATACAATTTTCCTGCTTAGGTTTTGCCCCATTAGGTTTCAGAGCTCCCAAGTATCTGTTTTGGACCACATTCCACACTCATGGCTAAGGTAATCATTTCTGCTCCTTTTAAAGGGTAATCTCATCCAAAGGTGATGGTTTGGTTATAGGTGCACCCTAGTGGGCTGTAGTATCTTTTTAAGATAACCAGCAATAAGATCTCTCTGTTCAGGCTGTGTTCCCACCAATTCTAAGCTGGTCATACACTGTTGGAATTCAAAGGAATTGGCCAAAATTCTAACCATGGGTGGCCCTGCTGGTACCACACAGCTCAACAAACTGATATTAAAAAAAGGAGCCAGGCAGAAAAATGTTGGCCTAACAGTGACCAGCCAATCCACTGCAGTCACTTTTTGGGTATTCTGACAGCTGTCCGAAAACATTAGCCGCTGATTAGCCCAACAGGAACAATGGGAGTGCCTCCTAGCAGCTGTAGTCAGTGTAAACACCTGGAAACTCCACCTGCATATATCCCACCATTGGCATCACTTATTGATGACAGAAACTGCTAGTTAAAGAGGACCTGTTAGGGGGTTTACCTTGCCTCAGATTTGAGGCTCCCATACAGAACTATAGGCTGCCTTTGCCTTCCCAGCTATTGCTGATTTCAGGACATTGCTTTCCTCTGCAGCATCAAACATAGTGGCATGCCTGCCCTGAGGCTGGGTTCACACCATGTTCCGGAACAGATCTGGAATGCAGTGCATTGCATTTTTGCCATGTTTGGAATTTTATAAGCTTAAAATGGTCTTATAGGTGCGTTCCAGTGCATTTGTATGTGTTTTTTATGCGTTTTTATACTTTCCAGTGCATTCCAGACCAGACAAAATAAGACATGCAGTATTTTTCTGGTCTGGTCTGAAACAGACTGCGCTAATGTGAACAGAGGCCAGGAATAGCATAGAGATATATTAGGATTCATTTTGGGTCCGGAAACAGTCTGGTCTGGAGATGATCCGGACATGGTGTGAATGGGCCCTGAAAGCTATTCCTTCCAAGAGCTGGGCAATTGCTCTAGCTCTATATGAGAATGTTAAATGTGATGGTTAGCAGAGTGTCTGTCTGGTTTAGGGCCTCGGTAGACTTGTGCTTTTGTTTTTGTTGATTTCTTTGTCAGTTGGTGAGAGAACACGAATGTAAAATGCTAGCAGTTGTCTCCGAAACAGGATGGTAAATCGCCTAATGGGGACATCTCTTCTGGCAACAGCTATTTAGGAAATAATCGCTACGGCGACACAGATGGCAATAAAAAAAAAGCCATAAAAAGATGAATTGACAAAGTATCCAACCATTCCTAACTCCATCTATAAATAAACATTTTGACTGAATTTCTACTTTTTAAGTTGATCAAACATGGTAAAATAGTGAATAGCCAATTCTACAAGACCTAACAATTGCGTAATATCTGGGGTAGCGGTGGAAGTAACCACAATATGCAGGCTTTAATATTACATGATTACTCATTACATTTATGAACAATCAAAATGTCATCAACTTTATTAAAACAATATTAGAGAATCATTTGTCTTTTTTTAGTCAGACCATTCGAGACAATGCATCAGATTTGCAGCTATAGATATATGTATTATGGTTATTGATGAAGCCCAAATAAATGACTCTAATATCTAACAGGACACTGGTTTACAATCTTAATACCCAAGCTAGCTGTCAGATGACTGGGTACTGGCACTTTATTGCATCAGGTTTAAAAATGGCTTTTATACACAGTATCATGTTCGAGAAAGTTTGAAAAAAGATCTAGGGTTGTCAGTGGTAAAATGTCTTTCGGCAGATGATAAAACCAAAACATAAACAGGGAGAGTAACTAAAGAAAGTGCAATGTACTGTATACCGGCATTTGAATTGTAATGTGCTATATTTAGTAAAGCATAACGTAATATGCTAAAATAAAGTTGTTTATCATGTGCTCAGTGGCAGTGCTGTTTTCCTTTATTTAAGTTTTAGCAGAATGTTTGCTTACCACTGTAATTTCACTTGGTTTGTGTAACATTGTATAGTAATCTAGATGGTATTGTTCTTGATGACAGTGCAAAGGGCAGGAACTCATGACAACTAGAGTCCTGTAGTCTGAGCTGTGAAAGGTTTTTTGGCTGCGCTCACTGTGCTTTAATCAGTACTGTTGTCCAACCAAAAATGGTCCTATTTTGCCATTGTTGGTATTTGTGAACCACCATGAGGCTAGGTTCACACCTAGGCAACACCTCACCTAGGCGACGGATTGCCGCGCGGTCAGGAGTCACCAAGGTGTGAACCGATTCCCTCCACGAGCATGTATACTTAACAGGCGCGCATTCTCGCACTGTTGGAGCTGTTGATAACAGTATTGCTTCTAGAATTGAGGGAAGATGACTAGACTAGTCCCCCATGTCGCAGTTTTTGTCCAATCCCCAGTTCCTTCATAACGCCATCCCTCTGCCAAAGCTCCAACACCAGTGAACAATGGAGCTTGGATGGTGTGTGGAGGGGGTTGTTGCTGCAGCAAGGGATCGGGGCTGCTCAAGTATACATGCCTGGAGTGATGGTCTATGTGTTGTCAAATCTTCCAGATGTGTGTGATTGTTGAAACAGAATAAATTCCCTATGTAAATGCTTTTAAAGTCCTAACAAAGAGCTGTCCTTTTTTTCTCTTGTAGGATCGGAGCAGAATGTACGACAGTTTAAATATGCACTCCTTAGAAAACTCCCTTATCGAAATAATGAGAGCAGAGCATGATCCACTGAAAGGTGAGTATTGATTGTCTATTTACTTTGTCAATGGTAATAAAGTATGTCTAAAGCCAAAACGTTTTTGTTTTGGATTGGGTAGGGAATAGCTAAAACCCCTGTTGTTTTTGTTGTCTGTGTCCCATTTGGGAGATTGTTCTTTAGTTACGGTCTTGAAGACAAAAGAGGAGGACAGTGGACATTTCTCCAAACTAAGGGAAGAAACTGATAATTTTGGATTTTCTCATGCTTTTAACGTGATTGACGGAGGTCACCAAGACCAATAGAGGAGGTGAATATCAGCAATGGAGACAAAGATGGCAGTAAAAACAAGACTGAGCTTTTAAACATACGTTTACACTTTGGGCAATCACTCTAAGAAGTGAATAGGAAGGGTCAGAGGTGGCCAGTCTGATTATTGAAAACCTATACTGAGGGCAATGTGTAGACAGCCATCACAGACCTCCTTTTGAAAATGCTGATTGCCTGGCTCTCTGCCTTGAGTTCTCCTGAATGTCTAACACACAGTACTGTCAACTTACAGCCAGAGAACTTGGCAAAGTTGCAACTGTGGCTCTGCAGACTTGCTCTCAATAAATGACTAAGAAAGTCATGAAGCTTTAGATCTCCAACAGGCAGCAACTTACATTATCTAAATGATAGCAAAGGCAGCCGCTACAGTTCTCTTTTGAAAGGAAAAGGTAAAGAATATCTTTCCTGAGAGACACATTGGAACCTTCCACTGCCAATCCTCTTCTGAAGATGCTAGTTGTCTTACTTTGTTCATTGGCCAACTGGGTTCAATAAGGTTTTAGTCGGTGACCTGGAATAAGTATACATATCTGTGAAGTCAGAGTATAATAGACTTGAAATATCGAAGCAGAGGGTAATCCTGACATCAAGGAAACTATTGTTTGCAGAATGAAATTTAGCAATGGCAGCCTCCATGTCTCTCTCTGGAAAGGTTTCCATAGCCCTCTCTGTAAAGGTTTAGAAAGTTCTGCAGGAAAATTTCTAGAGACTTCATTGGGATGGGCATCTGTAACTGACTGGTTTAGCTGGTACTTGCAGATCTAATGCCTATGATTATACCTTGTTAAAAGTAAAGAGGAGTAACTATTAGGCTTCACTGGATGAAGTTATTTCTAGGGAGTTGAGTGTCTGACATTTATTTAAAGGTATTGATATGGATTGTGTCACAGGAATATAATGCAAGTATGCAGGCAGCCACAGGGGCCATCTAGTATGTGTTCCTGATACTTGTTTAGCACTCCCCAAAGTAGAAGGCTTGATAGAGAGCTCATACACACGAGTGCTTGGTGAAGCTTCCGTTTCTATGCATTGGGACTGCTGAATGCCACCAGCTTATTTACTAGTTTTGCTGTTCCTGGCTGGAGAGAGCTTTTGAAAGTGGGTTGGACGGTGGGCCCTGGAATCACGTCTGCATCCAGCACCTATGTGAGTAGAGCCTTACACCCATAGGTTCCAAAAGCAGCAAAAATGTCCTTCAATTCTTTGCATCGGTTAGAGTATTCAGAGCCACTTTCCCTTTTCTATATCCCATGAATGTCTCCACCACACCCGCTCCCAAGTGGCACTGCTCTCCGGCCACTGCCGTCTGGCCTAGATAGGCTTGGTTTGTTCTCGGTGGTTCAGCAAGCTATCCAGCCATTGAGAAGACCTTCTGTCCTGCAAAAAGCTAAGGGATGCAGATTCATAAATGCTAACATTTACATGCCTCGGGGCCGGCCCAGTTTAGTGGAGAATGTGTATATGTGTTACTCCTAAGCACATTCTTCTGCTAGAAGAAAGCAAGCCTTTGTGTCTAATAAGGACTCCCCTCTCAGTGCTCCCTTTTGAAAAGTGAAATTATGAAAACAAGCTAGGACAGTGTATGTTGTGTGCGCAGTACAGCCGGGCTAAGGAGAAAGTGATTGGAATGTCAGGCACGTGTTTCAGGCTGAGCTGCTTCCCCTCTCTGCTATGACTAAGCATCTTGTGTATGTTTTGGCACACACAGAACACTCTTGTGCTTGGAACCTCAATGCCGCCTCCTCATTCTTCAAAACGTCATTCATGGTATACAGTACCCTACACACGTCACTTATTGTATGAGGTTAAAACTGCCGTATTTGGTTTTTGCGACACATGTGGCCCTTTTATTGCCTCCTTGTGGCCCCTTTATTTTATGGATTTAAACTGAATAAGGCCCCATACCGTCCTTCAGTGGAGAAAAGCTTCACATCCTTGTGTAACTATACAGCTAAATAAATGTTTTATGGACCCTTTTATCAAGATTATCATATTATAAGCTACATGGACCAGATCTCAAGAATATTCCTGTTGTCCCTGTGATGTTAATTACCAAATTGCTAGAATTCTTTTTCTTGAAACTATGTATTTATGGTCCCTAGTAGACATAGTGCAACCGCTTCAAGATTTCTTCTGTTCAATTTGTCCCCCCTTTTCCTTTAAGCTTGACATGCCATGGGTCAAGATCGTCATTTACTAAGAATTTGATGCTGTTTTTTTAGGAAGATGCCCATGCGCAGTTAAAAACACTTTTAAGATATACTGTATATCTATATATCTCTATATCTCAAAGAGTTAAAAGATCATCATGCACTATGGTTTTTGAGGATCTTGGAGCCCTAAATTCCTGATGTAATGTATAGCAATTTGGTGTCTTAATACCTTCTGCTGTTTGTAAGTATCAGCTTAAAAGGCGTATCAAAATTATTAGGTAATATTGAATGTAACTTCTACAAATAAGGATGGCATTTTAGGTTTATTACTGGAAATCGGGTGTACTTCTATGTTCTAAAATTCACAGGGATAATCTAAACGGGATACCATCCCTGGAAATCGATAACCAATAGCAGTTATGCTATTGGACTGAACCCCATCATCATGTTGTATTACTTGGTGACCCCATGGAAGAGATCTCCTCATTTCCAATGAGTCAGTCAGAAGTATGTGTGCGCTGGCAACCAGTGCTACCTACACCTTTTTAGTTTGTTTTTCTAGGGTGCCCTGGGAGCCTCATTATAAAGTTACCTACTTTAGCTCTGAACTTGGCGTTGGGTCCAGCCTATCCTATACTGACCTGCGCTGGTGATAACACTGAGGAACCGATAATGTTCTGTATACCACATGGAGGTATAACTATAGTTATACCACATACCCATAGACTAACATGGGTTCGGTATGGTTATAGTTTGTTGGGTCTTCTATATCAAGTATCAGAGTGCTGACACTCAGTACTATCAGTTGTTTTTAATCATCTCAAATGATGTAGTACCTTAATTTTGTTTTTCTTCCCCTATTACAATTTATAGGGATTTTTCCAGTGCTATATGTAGCCTGTTTTTTTTTTAGCGTAAATATGGCTGTAAATATGAGAAATATATTTTTAGTTCAATCCACACATTAGATAACATGCTTCAGCTGCTTTGCTCCCTGGTAACACAAATTACGCTTTTATTATTATCTGTTTAGACTGGTCTGACAGATAAGAAAATGGAGCTGAATGTAGGAATAGTTTTTTTTTATATGCCAGCAGACTTTTTCTATATTTACTGTGAGCAGTTTGATTGGATGTCATGGTGATCATCTCAAAAGCAGGGACTACATTAACTGCCTCCGGCCCCATCTGTCTCATACATCCTCAGTTACACCATTGGAAGCCCTTTCCCAAAAAAGCAGTGCCATAGACATATATCCTGTCATACATGCTTATTTATGACAGATCTGCTGAGTGCAGTGTTAAAGTAATTAAAGCAAACTTGTACTAAAATTCTGAATACCAATGCACCAGGCGACAGTAGCATTTTCTGCAAGCACTGCAGGGTTTTTTTTAGGGCCCATCCACATCAGAGCGCATATGGGTTGACATGTGCTAATTATGTGCATTGCCATGCTCCTTTTTTTTTACCACGTTCCTAATGTGTGCCATGGTGCAATAAAATGCTGCCCTCCCTTTTCTTTTGTGTGTGTGTAAAGGTACACATTTTAAAACAAGGCTCTTTGCCTTTTCCATGTGATGGGTGCACGTTGATCAATGCAGTAGGGCTGCAACAACTAATCGACATAATCGATTATAATCGATTATTGAAAAAGTTGTCAACTTTTTCAATAATCGATTAATCGGCTTCTGATTGGTTGGCCCTGTTCACGGCTCCACACACGCTGCGCGCCACACCTCCTCCCCACCTCACGCTCGCCGCTGCCAGACCTGCCCGCATCCACGCTCCGCACCTCCTCCGTGCCTCACACTCACCGCCTGCCCAAATCCACGATCGGCACAGGGACGCGGGGAGAAGAAGTAAGGAGGAGCAGGTGTGGGCGGATGACAGCCGCCGATAGACAGGCCCGATCTCAGAAGCAAGTTGCTGGAAGACTGCTCAGGTAAGCCTGCACTTTCCCCCCACATGGTGCTCTATAATGTATTGCTGGTATTTGTATTCTTCTATAGCTGATGGTACATTGTGCTGTATATTATACAGAGCAATGTACCATCAGCTATAGAGGAATACAAATCCCAGCAATACATTGTACACTGTATGTATAATAGTTACATAGTATTTGAGGTTGAATAAAGACATAAGTCCATCAAGTCCAACCTATTGTGTGTGTGTGTGTGTGTGTGTGTGTGTGTGTGTGTGTATAGGTCCCTGAGTGTTCTCATTCTTAAGAGTACCTGTACCCTTGTACATTACGGTCTCTCAGGAAATCGTCGAAAAGCTTCTTGAATGATTCCAGACTATTTGCGGAAATCACTGCTTGAGGCAGCGCGTTCCAGACCCTAACTGCGCAAACTGATAAGAACCCCCTTTGCTGGGATTTGTTGTACTCCTATATAGATGGTGGTATTCTGCATTGCGCTGTATAGAGGACTACAAATCAAGGAATACCACCAGCAATGCAGAATACCACCAGCTATAGAGTACAACAAATCCCAGCAATAGTACATTATACAGTGGTGCAATGCCGAATACCACTAGCTATAGAGGACTACAAAACCCAGCAATAGTACATTATACAGCGCAATGCAGAATACCACCAGCTATAATGTACTATTGCTTGGATTTGTTGTACTCCTCTATAGCTGGTGGTATTCTGCATTGTGCTGTATAATGTGCTTTTGCTGGGTTTTGTAGTCCTCTATAGCCGGTGCCATTCTGCATTCATTGCTGTATAATTTTACACTTTTCATTTCACTATATTGTACACCACACTTTTTTTTCTTTTTTACTTCCACCGCTCCAAGCTTGCTGCAATCTCAATATAAAAACTAGAAGTCCCATCACTGGAGCCATTTTTTAAAATGTATTTTTTATCCGATTAACCGATTAATCGAACTTAATAATCGGCTAACTAATTGATTTTGAAAATAATCGTTAGCTGCAGCTCTACAATGCAGCCCAACGCATGTGGTGTGAATGGGCCCTAAAACATCTACTGTGTAAGCGGTATCTGCGGGGATCCTTAGAATGATATCAAAGTCTGGATATCATTTGATTTCTCGGTGCAGATCCTTAGATTCTATTATTCTATTGTGAGCAGACCTAGCCCGCTGGCTGCCCTTTACCTCTCTACATTTCCCCGCTGGCGCTCTGTCTACCCTAATGAGGATAATAAGCATGGAAAATCAGTTTCTGGTGTACTTTTCATAGGCATTATGGCTCCACTGGAGATTTATTGTGTTCCCTGTGGAATTTCTGTCCAGTTCACACCAGAACGTTAATAGGATACAACAGCCTGAAAGGGTATTGGATGTGTTATTTACAGGGATTGCCTCTAATACGTATATCTATATTTAGCTGGAGTGAATGTGAGAGTGTGAAGGGCAGTATTGTGCTAGCCCTGCTGGAGATTTCCACTCCATAAAAAAGCATTAAAGCGAAAAATTAATTTTGGATCCATTTATGTGTTTTATATAAATAATTGAGTACGGTATAGTGTAAAGTCTAGTATATTACCAAGCATTCACTGTGTTGACCAGTGCTGTCATCTGAACAGGAGGTTTTCAGAAGATATGATGTAGGGTACAGAGTGTACTTCCCTGGTGGAGTTACACTCATCAGTCATAGTGCAAATAGAAGGTTGGAGGTAGAAAAGTAACCAAGGAAGCTGGGAAGTTGCAGGTGTTGAACAGCGGTGTCACCCCCTGTCTATATGTGTTCTACAGAAGTAAAAACAACGAGAGGCTGAAAAGGGTCTAAAGAAAAACAGTTAAGTATATGTAAAGCCAAAGCATACTTGGGGGATTTATCAAAACTGGAGCAAACAGAATCTGGAGCGGTTGCCCATAGCAACCAATAGGCATCATTCTATAGTCTGCTCAGGTAAGATTCGAAAATGAGACAGAAGAGCTGATTGGCTGCAGTTTTTGTCCGTTCCAGTTTTGATCAATACCCCCCATTGTATTTCATTCTAGACACAGTAGGCAATGGTTAAAAACCTCAGTCAGGGTTTTTGATTTTTGTTTATTTTTTAATGCTATCATCTTTTGGAAAATTTCCCTTCACTTCCTGTCCTGTAGACACAACAGGAAGGGATGGAAATCTTTCCAAAGTGAGGGAAATGCCCCTTTCACATGGGCATTCCAATAAGGACACCTATCAGTTTTTCAGGTGGATCTGATCGCAAGCCCAATGTTAGTCTACGGGCAACCAGATCTCAATGTATGTGCGTCCATTTACATCTAATTACCCCCGACTCCGGCCAGCTCCGGAAAAACAAACTGGTCAGAGTTAATTTTCGGTCAACCTGATCGTGGTGGATCTGGGGTAATGGACACACATCCATTTACATTCGATGCAACATAGACTAACATGGGTTTGGTAATTGCAGTTTTTTTCCTCCTTCCAAAAACTGGATGGGCACGCATATCACAACGGTAACATCCGTTCCGATCAGCAGAGAATTTGTGCATGGATCTCTTGCTGGTCAGAACTGAAGGAGCCCATGTGAAAGGGGCTTTAGACGGTTGGCATCTGAACAAAATAGAGAGGGTTAATCCTCTTGCAAGGACACAAAGCAATACAATTCTAACACAAAATCCCTATTTTACAATTTGTTTATCGCCCTGCACTTCATATGTAAACATGCAAAAGATATTTAAAATGCTGCATTCACACCTAGGCGACAGCGCTTTCTCTTATTTCTCAGCGCTTTTTTTAGTGCACATTTTCGCAGTTTTTTTGCACATCTTTGCATGCAGTCGTGCGTTTTTGTAAGCAGATTGTGACCTTAATGTACTTGGCAAACGTGCGTAAAATGCACAAAAATAGTGTTTCACGTTTCCTATTGAGTCTATGCGGTTAAAACGTGCTTTAATCTGCCTAAAATAAGCTCATGTACTTTTTCCAGCAACATGCGTTTTTCTACACATGATGCTACGCTCAGGTGCGAAAGGGGCCTATAGAAATAAATGAACAAAAAGTATATGTGTGTTATATATATATATCTATATATATATATTTTTATTTTATTTTTCTCATCTGTGGCCAAAACAAAATCAAGATTTTGACAAATAAGAAACCATTACACCTTCTCTTTGAGGAGTTTTGGAATGAACAGTTTAGTTTACAAAGATTAATGTCACCTACATAATGAGAGTCGGCCACTGTGACGGTATATCATAAGATGGAAGGGTTACAGTGGTGTCAGACCATTAGTTAAGCAGAAGTGTGCCAAAGGTCTTTCTGTTATTGCTAAAAGTCACCTCACATGCCATATGGCAAAGATTAATTTGTCTTAGTACAAATGTGAGTTTTAATGCTAGACGAACAAGGTTGTTTTGTTTTTTAAATCCTTTTTTTTAAAAGGTATTTTATTGGTTATAAAAATGCGTACATTACACTGATAAATTTGGGTTATTTTTGAATTCCGTCAGCCCGCATGGCACTTTCAAGCTGCTGATGTCACAGTTTTCATTCACAGTGTCAGCAAACATTACCCAATTTCAAGAGTGTTATATGTTTGAAGTTTTAGAAATAAAATCTTTAGTTACTTTACTGATGCAGCTTTTACATGTGCTTTTAGTCATGATAAAACATGATAGACATTTTAAGAATGGAAATGTTGACCTGTCTGTATATTTTCCGATGCATGTTAATATGCATTCTAGATCAGGATTGTTTTGTTTGCGTGGGGTTTTTTGTGGTTTTTTTCTTTGTGGTTTTTTTTTTTTTAGTAGCTGGGCTGTTTTTTCACAAAATTAAGCACAAAATGTATGTTCTGATACTATTTTCACTGGGCTGTAATATACAAAAGTCTGTTTATTTTATGACACAACATGAAGACATGATTGTTTAGTGCGGATTAGATTTTCTCCTGTTGCTTTATTGGCAGAAGGAGAACGATGCTTGCTGTTTGGAGTATAGAGGGGTTATAGAGCCCCTGGAAGTGAGAGGGAGTTCTTGAGAGGTCAGCACATTTCTGGACCGTGTGTAGCAAGAAAGTGCTTTTCCCATTGGACCGGACTCCGAGGCGTTGCCGAGATTATTGCTTAACTCCCTCACTTCCTCAAATGAAAACCACACCGTGCATCTGTGTATTAGATAATGAGCTTTGAATAACAAACATTCACTTTTTTTTTTCTCTTTTTTTAGGTCGCTTGAACTATCCCCATCCAGGAACAGATAGTCTTCTGATGTTAAATGGTAGGTAGTTGTCTAAATAAAATAAAATTTAAAAAATGCGACATTCTACATATCTTATTTGTGAGATTGTGTGTGTGTGTGTGTATATAATAGTGAATTACTAAATTTCAGGTTATGAGGTTATCAATTATTGAACTAGTTCATTTTAAGGATATGTGCACATTGGTCATTGGGATTCCACTGTAGTTTGTTAGGGTACATGTGTGCTTGAAATGTGTTCCCCTGTGGGTCACTTTAGGTATAATTAAAACAAAAATCTAGCCAAACAGATGAACTGTATTTGAATCTTGAAGACTAATTCTGCTCAGTCTTTGGGATTTCACACATCCCTGCAACATTTTATAGCCCAAAAAATAATTTTATTCAGAGCCTACAGCATCGCAGCACCCTGTTTTAGAGACAGATTAAAGGAAAATGGGGCCCTAGGCAAGGTAGCAGCTTTGCCTTTCTTCACCCATCCATTCGATTACCATTGATAAGGATTGCAATAGGCACTGAGAAACCACCTCATATGCATTTTCCATGGCCAGCTGCATCAGACACCTACTGCCTAAAAGTACATCTTCACATTTGAAGTGACAGGCAGGTGCACAGCTTTCTCGCCCTTGTCTACCATAGAAACATGAAGGTGGTAGCTGAAAATGCACTGAACTCTAGGATAGAGACACTTACCTCATGGACGGGCACGTCTGACCCCATTGCTGGATAGCTTCTACATTAAGCACTAGATTTCATGGTCTTGATTTTCATTAAACAGCACATAGCACACACAGAATTTTTCTTCAGTGTTGCAGGTAACAGCCAAATAACCTACACTAATAAGTGGGCTCCCCCACTGACAAAGTCAGATGAACAAAGTCAGATGAACAGTAATAAAACCATCAAAATCATTAGACTTGTAATCTGTGTACAGTTTGTTACTTGGTTCTGCTTATCAGTGTTTTTTTTCCCCATGTAGTATTTTCTTTATAAACAAAATTAAGTACTATTCATAATACTTTTTATTTGCACTAACAATTTTTTTAGGACAAGCTTTCGGGGTCTTTCTACATTCTCGGTCCAAGCAGTATCAAGTAGAAGGTGGTAGACCCCAAAAGCTCGTCCTGAAAAATTAACTGAGAGTTGTTTTTTTTTAATCTGAACTATCACTGACCGTACTCAGCCTAAAGCTTAAAAAATAAAGGAATCTAAAGTGTATTTTCAGAGAGGAAACAATTACAGTGGTACCTTAGTTCGTGCCATGATTCTGGTCGCGTACCTAATTGGTCGTGAACCGAATCAAATTTCCCTATAATGTGCAATGTAATCCATAATACTGTACAGTACTGTATGTGTTAAAAAGCACACAAAAAAACTTCACAGCAAGTGTGCACAAGTCTGTCTGCGACCGTGATCTCTACTGGCGATAGCCACGACCACGTGTCAGAGCAGGGAGGATGGACGCAGTCGTGTTCGTCACCCGATGTGGAGTTTGCGAACAGCAGCAAAATTTTGCCAAACTTTCGGTTCGCGAACCGAATTGTACGCGAACAGAAGCATTTGTGAACCCAGGTATTACTGTACTTTCATTCTTGCTTTCAATATCCTTTTAACACATATACTAGATTGTTGAGTATGCTCCTTGTGTTTATCTCTATAGCACATTTGCCATCCCTACAAAAAAAAAACTGCTGACATTACAGGACAAGCTGTTGGGAGAGGTTGGTGTTTCCAGGAAGTCTGACAGCCATGCTTTTGAGGCAGGAACTATAAATTATAAGCCATGTGCGGCCTACTTCACGTAACTCACAGCCTGCATATGTACTGAGCAAATAGTTGCTCTATGTACATATATTTATAGACTCTTACAGAAAAATACACATAATAAGATAAGGTTACGTACATAAAGTAAATCACATTTACAGTATATTTAACAAACTTTAAAATCCTCTAGGGTTCATTGACATTTCTAAGACTCAGCGTAAGCTGGCTGTGTTCTATGTGTTTACTGAGAGTTCATCTCCATTATTTCAAAATGTTCATTTGTCCTTTTAATATTGTTTATTTTCCCTTTAAATCATAACCAGTAGCCAGCACGTAGACTTGCAGGAAAACTAGAAATCTTCAGTTTGTTCCGGATCCTCATTCCCCATCTCTCTGCTGCTAAAACTTGGTATTGCTAAACAGCTATTAAATACTGTAGTTGTTCACGAGAAGTACTGCATGTCATGGGTCAAGTTTAAAACTAATAAGGCATTTAAGCAGCAGGGCATGGAATATTCTGTTTAGTAGAGTGCTGTGGGAGGTAGGAACTCGCCTGTTCTACTACATAAAAAGCCTGACAACTGCAGAAGGGCTTTGTTTTTCCTTGGAAACCTTTTTTAGTAATTTAGACAAATCTATCTGCCCAGCTTCCTTACCTATCTGCATAATGGGCATTTAGTACCCTGCATCTGAAATGGTTTGTTGAGGATGTGATCGGATCTTACTTTGATGTAAGAAGTCATTGCTTACTTCACTAAAAATATGTTGACAGCACTTTTATCTACTGCTAGAAATTAACAATTAGATTTGGCTGTTGAATGCCACCAAATTGTAAATTATCATTTTAAGAATATCTTCCAATAAGTAACTCCAAGCTTTATAGCTAAATCTAGTAGGCTGGCATTCATATTACATGGCTGTTAGTAAGATTTGATTAGCTCAACAGATTTTACTGTGTGGCCATCCTCAAATCCTAATTTGCTGTAGAACATAGAAACTGTAAAGCTGAATACATTGAGCCCTGAATCCTTGTGCTGTTACCAGGAGATAATGAAATACGGACACCATACTTTCTGTAGTATGATTTATTGTGACCTCTGATGGTTTTGCCTGAGCCCACAGAATATGCCATATTATTAAAGGCTTTTTTCAGGCATGGTGTGAAGAAGCATTGCTTAGTTTCCCTGTCACCTCTCTCTGACCTTCAGAGATACTTCTAGGTGTATTTAACTAAGACAAACACTCCCCTGCCAGCATTTTCTATTAAGGCCAGTGGAGCGTAGCCTTGACTTGCTGCAGTGCACCTCTGTGACAAGAAACAGTTTGGTGAGATATTAACAAGTGATGAGGAAGAACTCAAAACATATCAACTGTAGTATAGCTGTAAATGACCTGCAGAGCTGTGGCCATCAGGATCATGCAAGCCTCGGTATATCTTGACAGTTGTCTAGCGAGGCATGGTGGGGATTGTAGCTCAACATTTGGAGGCCCAGGACCAGCCCTGTACCAGTACAAGCTAAATCTTGGGATTCCTGTACATGGCTTCACATGGAGCTGTAGGAGCTCAGGTATAAGTGATAGCGACCCTGCATGAGATCTAACTGATCTCATGCAGTTAGATGTGATTATTCCATTTCCTATTTTTAAACGATGAGACACTTGATATGGTAAAAAAATCCAGCTATCACTATTTTACATAGCAAAAGGTTATTTCAGAATAGCAACCAGTTTGGATTAAAAAAAACCCAAGGTCCCAATTCTTTTACTGAGAGTTACAATGACATTGCTGAATCAGGAACACAAAAACCTCTGCTCCCATAGGCCAGTAGTCCCAAAGATTTATTAGTGGAGGACAGCATGCTCTCCCCACTGATGCCAGGCACAAGCAATACAGTATTCTGGCTGCATGGTTTAGAATATTGGCTCTTTTACATACAAATAACCCCTTCCCCTGCTTCAGAAACTGAGATGAATTTGTTACCAGTTTTAGTTATGGGTTATTATTATTATTCAGGATTTATATAATGCCAACAGTTTGCACAGCACTTTACAATATAAGGAAGACATTACAATTACAATACAATTCAAGACAATATGGTAAGGAGGGCCCTGCCCGTGAGGGCTTACAATCTAAAGGGGAGGGGCAAGTGATGCATGAGGAGGTAGCTGTGTGAGGATGAATTGTTTGAGAACGTGATGGTTGAGTGGTTAGTTTGAGGTTGGATATGACTTTGATTAAAAATTTGTTCATCAGATTGTTTCCCTACATGTAACAATACAATAATTTGGAAATGGCGGTTTCTTCCAGAAACTGATAACATTAAAGCGGAACTACAACTAGCCTCTATTTGGATTGCAGTTGCCATGGTGCTGCACATGTGATCAGCTATGACACCAGCTATTAGAGGGCTTGAAAGTTCAGTTGCGCAGTGGCAACCTTGACAGTTGGCATGCCTTAAGGCTGGGTTCACACCTAGGCGTCTTGAATATGCGCGTTTGTCGCACGTTTTTACGCGGTAAAAAAACACGTGTTTCCGAGGCTACTTGGCTGTATCCCTATGGAAACGCCCGACCAAAACGCCCCAAAGAAGTACATGTACTTCTTTGGGTGTAGGGCGGTTTCCCGCACGTTCGTACTCGCGGAAAAACGCCCAGATGGGAACCATGCACATTGAAAATAATGGCATTTCCCCGTTTGAGCGTTTTTCCGCGAGTACGAACGCGCGGAAAAACGCCCAGGTGGGAACCGGGCCTAAAAGTAACTGCTTTGGGAGACCTTAAATTGGTGGTTAAAGGTTCTCTTTAAATTGGCAGTTCTTTCAATAAACCATTTTTATCAACTGAACATACTTGCATGCCTCACTGATTACAATTGCATCATCTGGACTAAAATACTGTGGGGGAATTAATCAAAGTTGGAGCAGACAGAATCTTGAGCAGTTGCCCATAGTAACCAATAAGCATCTCTCTTCAGTTAAGATAAGATTTGAAAATGAGACAGAGAAGCTGATTGGTTGCAGTGCAAATCTGCTTCAGAATTTGTCTGCTCCAGTTTTGATACATTCCCCCCTCTATGTTGGAAAAAGAAACCTGCTAATTTGCATTGGCTGGAGTGCGAGTTTGTCTTTAGCAGTTGGCTTTTACTTTAGCACCAAACAGCAAAGCACTTTGTCAGTTGTAAACCGTGACCCTTGGCACCAGGGGTTAATAAACAGAGGCCATGGACGGCTTGACCTCTAGCCCTCTGAGAATAATTA